TGCCTTGTATACCAAAGAGACTAATGGAAAGGTTCTTGTGGTATGCATCTATGTAGATGATCTGATAATCACCAGTGATGATGAGAACTAGGTGAATGAGTTCAAGACTGCCATGAAAAATGAGTTCAAAATGTCTGATTTGGGTTTGCTAAACTACTTTATAGGAATGGAGATTTTACAAAGCAAGGAAGGAATATCATTGTCATAAGAGGGATACGCAAAGAAGCTTTTGCAAAATTTCAACATGGAAAACAGCAAAACCATGTCCACACCACTCACTCCTCAACAACGATATCAAAACGAGGAAGATGAAGAACTGCAGATAGCAAAGTTTACCGGAGTTTAGTGGGAGGTTTGCTGTACTTAATAGCTACTCGACCTGACTTGATGTTCTCTGCTTCTTACTTGTCCAGATATTTGAAAGAGCCCAGAACTATACACCTTAAGGAGGCGAAGAGAGTGCTCAGATACATCAAAGGGACAATCAGTATAGGCATGTTCTTCAAGACTGTTGCTGAACCAAAACTAGTCGGATATTGTGACAGTGATTGGGGAGGATGCAAAGAGGATATGAAATCAACAACAGGTTATTGCTTTAGCATTGGATCAGGTATCTTCACATGGCAAACAAGCAAGCAAGATACTGTTGCTCAATCAACAGCTGAGGCTGAATACATGGCATTGTGTGCTGCTGCAAACCAAGCTCTGTGGTTAAGGCGTTTACTTGAAGACCTAAGAGTTTTCTCTCAAGAGGGAGTACCTCTCTATTGCGATAGTCAATCAGCTATAGCTATTGGGAAAAATCCAGTTCAACACAGAAGAACAAAGCATATCCAGATAAAGTATCACGTCGTGAGAGACTATGAAAGGAATAGAGACATTCAACTCAGATAGTGCAAAAGTGAAGATCAAGTAGCAGATACTTTCAAAAAAGCATTGGCGGTTCAGGCATATGAGAAGATTCGAAGTAAGCTTGGTTTGAGGGACAAAATGACAAGAGGGAGTGTTGAGTAAAAGTGTCATTTTGGACTCAAACCAAACTAAAAAAAAATTAACTAAGTAGAGATTAGTTATCAGTGCAACAGAGTTTTGAAACAGTGTTTTAAAGTAGTTGCTTTTGTTTAGATTCTAAGATGAGCAGGTCATTATCATTAGGGGTAAGGAATGTTCAGAAAGTTGTTGTGTGTGTGTTTTATATATTGCAAGTGTGTCCTTTGTATCGAAGTACGAGAAGATGAAATGAAAAACAACTTCAAGTTTTATTCTCTCAAGTTTACAAAACACAAAATGCAAAACAGAACAAAAACAGAATTCTTTGTTTGTAATACAACACAAATACCATTTAAAAATACATATATATATATATATATATATCATTGGCTTACATGTGGTAGGTTCAATGACTTCAAGGCCAAGAGATTTATGAAAAGAGCTTCATGCAAAAGAGTTGATCTGAATAGGTAGAGATAACCTCATACATGGACTTTACTTCAGCTGTGTCAAGCTTCCTTAGCTACTTCATTTATGGCTGCCATCCTAATTACTTCATTTGCGTATGATAACACCGGATTTTGACCATTTTTATGGATCACTTTAATGTCTTTTACAGGTGTTTTTACTCCATTTTCAAAGATTTTCAAAGAATTTCTATGTTTTCGGATTTTAAAAGACTTTTCAAGTAATTTGGGATAAAGAGGCACAAATTGGAACAAAAAGACTCTTTTGGATAAATGCAGACCGTCAGAACTCTCATGGAGAGACGAACACCTTCTCACCGTCTGATCACCCTCAAAATTGGACAACTTATAGAAGAATCAACCAGCTTTCAAATGCACTTGGTTTGGAGACATTCCAACAGTTGGATCTCAAGATATTCCATTAGCCTCGAGCCACTCGAAGACGGCCAGCAAGTCACGCGACCGCGGCCAACAGCCCATTCCCTGCGGTCACAAGCCTCCCGACCGCGGCCAACCACCTATTCCCCGCGGTCACGTCACTCCCGACCGCGGCCGGCTAACTCCGAACTAAAGCCCATATTTCTGAAGCCCAAAGTCATTCTCAACCTCAATTCCGGAACCCTAGAGACCATGGAGTATTGAAGACTATAAATACTTGTCATTTAGGTCATTTTTAGACACAACCCTTCATACTTTACAGAAACCCTTTTTTCTTTAGCCGTTTTTATGCGATTTTTGTAGAAGATTGTTTAAGTCCGAGTTCTTCAATAGAGAAGCTTTCTTTCATCTATTTTCTTTACTGTTTTTGATTACTTTTATTAAAACCAATGATGATGTCGACCTCAGCTATGTCTGAGTAGATCCCGAGTTGGGCTTAGGGTTCCCGAAAGGGGCTCTCATAATCGATTAAGACATCTAGGTTTATAGATCTGGGATTTCAACTTTGTTCTCTGTTTATTCTTGTTCTTATTGCATGTATGCTTGATTGATCACCTCGTATCTGATCTAGATAGTTAGTGTTGCGAAAGTTTTCATTAAGTATCAGCCCTAGAATAAAACAGGCAATTTTTCCGTAGGAGTGGAAACCTACCTGCGGCGAGATCGTGAGTATTGACGAGTCTTGTGCAGCTCTTGCGTTCTCTCCCTTCCAGGGCCAGAGTGGAAACCTACTGGTCAGGGTTGCGAGAAACAGTTGGTTATGATCACGACAGTGACGTAGTCATACCGCCGTACTCTAGCTCTAGAACCCTATATATCGATATCCGTCAATCCCAATCTATCTACCCTAGTGTTAAAACCGATTATGATCCCTGTAGAGTTCCCAAAAGCTCAGCGTTTTTAGCCATAGTTTACAAACCAATCGATTTTTACTTGCTTATTTAGATCTGCATTTCAATTGCTTTAGTTCTATATTTTGTTTGCTTTAGTTCCTTTCCATTCGATTTTTCTACTTGTTCCTTAGGATAAATTTATTTGCTTTCTTTTGTTTTAGTTTAATCCGTGAAAAACAAACAACCTCTAAAACCAATCTAGTCTAGACATAAAGTTAGAAACCGTAGAAGAATACCAGGCACACAAATCTCTGTGGATTCGATCCCTAAATACTACAACTGATTAACTGTGCATTTGCGGCTTTCATTTGTTTTTTTAAGGGTAAAACTTGTTCCCTCACGCAGTTGACACGCAATCAAGTTTTTGACGCCGTTGCCGGGGATTTGTTTTGCTGCCTTTTGTTATTTTTCTTGTTTAAAGTCATTACTAACTCTGCACAGGTAGTAAGTCTAACTTCTTTATTTTAGTGACACTACTTGGAGATTCATCTGTGAAAGTTGAGCCTTTATGATTAATAGAGTCAGAGATAGGGATGGTCCTTTATTTATTTGGTTAGGTTCAAATTTTTCATATTATGGGTTCCAAAAAAAATATCACATTGTTATTTTATAAATTTTGTTTGGGTCAGTTCTTAGAAATCATGTTTCTAGGTTTTGGTTAGGTTTTGGACATGTAATTATAACAATAAAAATGTTAAATCGAATTAATTAATTTTATTATATAAAACTGAATTTGCTAATTCAACTGATACATATTAAAATCAATTAATTTAACACATATTTTATAGTTTTAGATAGACGAAAATATAGTAAAGATTTTCTTAAAATGATTGTATCTAGTTTAGGAAGTATTTTTTCTACTATACAAGTATGTATATGTAATGCTAAGATGAATTCATATGAGAGACTAATAATAATATTTTTCCTATTACAAATCTCTCATAACTTCAGTATACGCATGCCTTTTGCAACAAATTTTTTTTTTTGAATCGAATGTAAAATTGTATTCCAAAAAAAATCGTTTTTACAATGACTGCAGCTTTAAATTAGAAATGTTACATAGAAATTTTGATTAAAATATCCCCAGCAAGGCTATGGTGGTCGAGTGGTAAACCATACTATCAGTCCATCATCGAAAGCTCGATCCTCCGTTCTCCGAATGGTGCTGATGCGATTTCGAATCACCTTGTCTATGAACTTAAGAAGTCGAGATGGCATAAGCGGATTCTCACCATGTCTGCGAGCATTACGTTCCCGCTAAATATGAAAGATCGCCGTTTGAAAAGCATACCGGAAGAGGAACTGCTCCAGGTGGTTTAGCTGAGATGTGCGAAGAAGAGGAATAAGCTCATCCCAGTTCTCTGTATATTCTGATCCTAGAAGTCGAGAGACCAGTACTCTCCAAACCTCCGATAAATACCTGCAGTCAAAAAACAGGTGCTTTCGCGATTCCTCCTCACCACTTTGACACAAAACGCAAGTCTGTGGTTGTCCAGTATTCTACTGCTTCATCCTTCCCCCGTAGACAAGCGGTTCTGAACTGCCACCCAGGTGAGAAAAGCGTATTTCAGCGTTGAGTACTTGAACCAAACACTCTTATACCAGTCTGTTTTCGGGTATCGTTGTCGAATCAAGTTCCACGTGCTCTTTGAGGCAAAAGTCTTTTTATAGTTATCCCCCGCACTTCTCCATAATGAGATATCGGTTCCAGTTCGTGCAGCTTCCTGAGAGCAAGATAGTATAAGGCACTCGATGTCGTTGAGGATTGAGGATCGGTGACGTCTTCTCCGGCGATTGTCCATTACCTCAGCGACAGTAGCCTGAAGTCTAATCCCCATATCAATCGTTCCTCTGAGCCCTGTTAGGTCCAAAATCCGATCCAATGGAGACCAATCATCGAACCAGAAATAAGTATTAGAACCATCGTTAACCTCTACCTTATGGAATCGTCGTGCCTCTTCCCTGAGCTTAAGGATTTTTTTGCAACAAATTTTGAACTTTGCATATTCTTTTATTACAAAACAAGAAGATGTGTATTGATCTATTAATTTAATAGTTTATAAGGGTCATCAATCGATGGCTTAGTGCTAATACCTATAACTCGGTTGGAAAACATGGTGACTATCACCACAGAAATGTATTTTTCTCCTCTGTGCTGTTTATCTGATCTCTCAAGACGCCAAGTGTCTTCCTTGATCATAGTCCTTACAGATAAAACACGAGTTCAAACCAGAACGATCTCTTAAATCAGATACAGAGATACTTGAATCTTCCTTGCATATCATTATACCTAATACATTTCTTCCAATCTATACGATTGGCTTATTAAAGATTTATCACGTAGGAATACACTGTGGACTTTCTTTAAACAAACTCAAACGGCGTAGCTAAAGCTAACAAAGCCAATAATCTATCTCACAACAATATGCTCTGTACTCTTCTACTTTCTACCATTCAGCTCTTCCATGAATCTGTTCAAATCATTATAAGAAGAACCTCCTTCATCCACAGCGGCTTTAGCCATCTCGCCTAGCTTCTTAGCCCATTTTCGCCTTTCCTCTGCCTCTTCTCCAGCTATCACTTCCCTCACTGCCTTATTCACTTCCTCTCTACTAATCAACTTTCCTTTTTTCACCAACTCCGTAGCTCCTACGTTCACTCCTGTTCTCAACACTTTTGTCAATAGTTTCTCGTTGTAGAACTGCTCAGCCCCCATTGGCCAAGTCACCATAGGCAGCCCCGCGGCAATGCCCTCCAAAGCCGAGTTCCATCCGCAGTGTGTCACAAACCCTCCAACCGATTTGTGGTCAAGTATCAGCACCTGCGGGGCCCACCCGCGTATGATGATCCCTTTCCCTTTCGTCCTCTCCTCGTACCCTTCAGGCAACCACTCTTCATTTTCACCTGTCCCAACCACACCATTACCAAAGTTAGATTTCATTATGGTTAGGTAATTCAAGTCCATTAAAATCCATAAACCAATAATCCTCCACTTAGATCATGATTAAACTTTTAAGTTAGACATCTTTATAAAGAGCATGGTGAGCAATAAGGGCTAATTAAAGAGGAGGAACTCATTACCTTGGTTATCATTTTTCCTAACCACCCAGATGAAATTTTGGCAAGAGGCTTCAAGACCAAAAGCGATCTCTAACAGCTGCTCGTTGGTGAAGTTAGTTCCGCTGCCAAAGGATACGTAAACCACTGAACCAGGCGTCTTAGAGTCGAGCCATTTGAGGCATTCTTGCTCATCAATGTTCGATTTTTTCCCTCTTTCGGCTTTCTCCGCAAACCCTCTATTGGATAGCGAAAGCGGACCAATATGCCAAGCTCTTTTCGCCACAAAACTACGGTAAAAATCAGCATAAGCTGGTTCCAGCTCGTAGAAGCTATTCACCAAAACACCAAAGCTATTGGACTCTGATTCCCTGACTTCTTTCATGAACTTTCCCATTGGAGTTTCTTCGCTGGCAATATTGGCTTGTTCTTCTGTGATAACTATGTCCCCTGGGAGACCAGTGATTACAAAAGGAGTAGAACTCGTAGGGACTTTCTTGTGTGGCTTATGAGTCCTCATGCTATAAGAACAACACAAGGAAAAGAAAGATGTGCCGTGGAACACAAGTCTTGGAACACCAAACTTCTCCGCGGATTCCGTCGCCCAAGGGAAGAACATATCAGCCACAAGACAGCTTGGCTTGGTTGTTTCGATGAAACTCTCCAATTGCTGTTTCATATACTTGGTAGAGAAAAGAAGCTTTAAGAACAAGTCACCTGCGTCAGGTTTTTGGTATGAGTTGATGAAGTCAACGTTCTCGCACCCTTCAGGCAGTTTAAGCTCTACACTAGGGAAATCGAAAATCTTGATTCCGATTTCGAGATCAGGGTTCTGATTCTTGAATGCTTCAATGGGTTTCTCCAAGATCTTAGAGTTGATTGGGGTTGTGATGATGGTTGATTTGGCTCCTCTGCTGGAGAACAGCTTGGCCATGTCTAGAACTGGAATCATGTGGCCTTGAGCCATGAAGGGGAAGAAACAAACATGAATCCGCTCAGAGACTTCGCTATTCATGTTTGGGTTGAAGAAACCAAATCTGGGTTTTACAGGATAAAACAAAGAAAATAAAAAGAAATGTAAATCTAAGAACTGAAAATGCCTGATCCGATCGGACAAAAACAGAGGATTTCTTGTCTGGATTGGAATTTTCTTTCTTTTTCTTGATTTCTGCGAGTTTCAGACATTCGAGATATATTAATGGAGTTTACAGGCGGTGAATCTCACATCTATACACACGTCATGTTTTACTTTTGTGTTCCCTGTTATTAGTTCGTTTAGGACTGAGTCATCTTTGGTTGGCTATAAAAAAGGGAATCGAATATGAGAACATGTGATGTCTCTCGTAGAAGCAAACTTTGACTTCTCAGTTCCGTCTTCAATTTGTTTTTTTGTTTTGAAAAACTTTCTCTTTGCAAATGTTAAATTTAGTCTAATAGATAAGAAAATGGGGAAAATCGCATAAAAAACCTCCAAAATTAAATTCACTTACACTTTAAATCTCCAAACTTTAACACTAACACATTAAACCACTGAAATTAACAAAACTAACACTTTAAATCTTGAAATTCATATCCGACGTCGCACCGAAAAAATCGATGACGAAACAATTAACTCCGTTAACAGAACAGTAAACGCCGGCGAACCTATAACCACATAGTATTTTATTTTTTCAATTTTTAAATCGAAAGTTAGATTAAAAAAAAGAAATAGGTATCCAGAAAAAATAAAAAAAAAACAGTCGACAGAAAAAATAAAAATAAAAACCATCAAAGTGAAATACCCAAATCGATTTGGGATTCTAGGGTTCATGAAGGTGTAAACAGAACCCAGAATTCATCACTCTCTGCAAATTCGAGCCTGTAAATGGTGTCACTCTCTGCGAACCCAGAACCTAGAACCCAGAATTCATCACCCATAATTGATCCTGTTACGTATGTGGCTGAGTATTACTACACACATAAACTGAGGAGCACATATTCACAGAATATCAAGCCTGTAAATGGTGATAAGCTATGGAAGCGAGTTCAGAATAAGCCTCCTATTGGAATTCCTGAGATACGAAAGCCAAGAGGAAGACCAAAGAACCGAGACATGACAAAGGAACCATTTGAAGATTTACAGAATCCGGGAAAAGCCACTCGCCATGGAAGAATACCGCATTGTAGTCGTTGTGGTCAAGCTGGTCACATCAACAGAGGATGTAAGAATGAACCTGTTGTTAATGAAGGACCAAAGAACAAGCGTGGTAGACCGAGGAAGAATCCTGCTGAGGTAAATTCTCTTGACCATTTTACTTTGGCCCTCCAATCTCTAATACGAGCACTCGGCTCTCTCGAATTCGCAGAGAGTGATGAATTCTGGGTTCTGTTTACACTTTCATGAACCCTAGAATCCCAAATCGATTTGGGTATTTCACTTCGATGGTTTTTATTTTTTTTTTTTTCTGTCGACTTTTTTTTTTTAATTTTTTCTGGACACCTATTTCTTTTTTTAATCTAATTTTCGATTTAAAAATTGAAAAAACAAAGCACCATGTGGTTATAAGTTCGCCGGCGTTTACTGTTCCGTTAACGGAGTTAACTGTTCCGTCATCGATTTTGTCGGTGCGACGTCGGATATGAATTTCAAGATTTAAAGTGTTAGTTTTGTTAATTTCGTGGTTTAATGTGTTAGCGTTAAAGTCTGAAGGTTTAAAGTGTAAGTGAATTCAACTTTGGAGGTTTTTAATGCGATTTTCCCTAAGAAAATGTATGAAATACAAAATTATTGTTTGTCGGAGCTTCTTCATAATTAATTATCAGAATTATCTAATTCTTTTTCCGACTTTTTATCCCGTTTTGATATCTGAAATGTTCTCCTAAACAACAAAATAGTTTTTTTTTGCCAAGTTTAAATTTAAAGTTTCAAAAATAGCACAAATCATTCATTATAAGAAAACATCATATATTCTTACAAAAATTCTGACGCAATATTTGGTAAGAAATTTTTATAAACAATTTCCTACGTAATTATGAGAAAAATTATAAATGATGAAAAATAGGTAAGAAATTTCCTACGAAAATAAAGCTTCAAAAAATGGTAAGATATTTCCTACCAATAACCTACCACATTTATATTTAGTCAAAATTTGAAAAAAAATGGTAGGGCCCAATTGACCGTTATACTGGTAGATATTTTGTCGAAAATTTTCTATGTATTTCCGAAGAAATATTATCTGTAGAAAAATCATAAGAATTCTATAGAAACAATTCAGACAGTTGTAAAAGTTTGTAACCGTTTATATCCATTTGAATTTTGATAGGAAATCGGTAGATATTGCACAGACAAATTTCTTATATAAAGCTTTTCTCCATTTTTACAATAACAAATTAACAATTTATTATACAAAAAACTCTCCAAAATTTTCGAAATATCTTTTAATAACAGTGATTCACAAGCCTGAATGTACAATGATAGGTGGGATTCAAGTACCGGAAAATTACAAATGAGTTTGCGATTGTGCTCACCGAATTTATCATTATAATAGTAAATTCATTAGTGTAGATAAAGTGTGTAATCACTTATATAGTCAAGGATTTATATACCGAATCACAAAGTCTGGTATTATCACAGAGAGATGTTGTGAATGAGGGTAGTACTAGTTGACTAGCTAGTGAAATAGAGAGGTTAGAAAAACCTAGAATAGCAGTAGAGAATGTAGGTGGGGTTCTGATGGTTCATGATGCGTTTATGAAAAATCACTAATCGTTTGAAGAAGATGAAAATGGAGTACAAGAACCAAATTTAAAAGCGAGGCAATTTTTTGATATCTTAGATGCAGCGACACATTCTTTATATGAAGGTTGTAAAAAAAGTCATTCTCCTTTGTCAAATGCAACAAGGATGATGAATATTAAGACATATCAGACTTTATCTCAGGATTGTGTAGCATATTGCTGATTTTGTGAAAGATCTTTTACCAGAAGATTTTTTAGCACCAGCTTCGTATTATGGGATTGAGAAGTTTGTTTCTGATCTTGGTTTGCCATATCAGATAATCCACGTTTGCATCGACAACTATACAATTTATTGGAAATCAACCGCAAAAACTACTTGACTTGTCAATTTTATGGGAAGCCTCAGTTTCAGAATACTGGTGGAGGGTTAGAGGGCCGTTTAAGCGTATGTTGTATGTGCCATTAGCAGATAGGTTCAAAAAGTTATACCAGTTGAAGCGCACTGCAGAGTCTATGAGATGGCATCAAGAGCATTTAAACAAAGGAGAAATAGTGCATCCATCTGACGCAGAGGCATAGAAACATTTTCAAACAGTTGATTGCGTGTCAACTGCGTGAGGGAACAAGTTTTACCCTTAACAAAAACAAATGAAAGCCGCAAGTGCACAGCTTATCAGTTGTAGTATTTAGGGATCGAATCCACAGAGATTTGTGTGCCTGGTATTCTTCTACGGTTTTTAACTTTATGTCTAGACTAGAACTTAAACTAAAACTAATTAAACTAGAACTAAAAGAAAGCAAATAAATCTATCCTAGAAAGCAAGTAGTAAAATATCGAACTAAGGCAATTGAAATGCAGATCTAAATAAACAAGTAAAAATCGATTGGTTTGTAAACTATGGCTAAAAATGCTGAGCTTTTGGGAACTCTAAGGGATCATAATCGGTTTTGACACTAGGGTAGATAGATTAGGATTGACGGTATGGATATATAGGGTTCTAGACCTAGTGTACAGCGGTATGACTACGTCACTGTCGTGATCATAACCAACTGTTTCTCGCAACCCTGACCAGTAGGTTTCCACTCTGACCCTGGAAGGGAGAGAACGCAAGAGCTGCACAAGACTCGTCAATACTCACGATCTCACCGCAGGTAGGTTTCCACTCCTACGGAAAAATCACCTGTTTCATTCTAGGGCTGATACTTAATGAAAACTTTCGCAACACTAACTATCTAGATCAGATACTAGGTGATCAATCAAGCATACATGCAATAAGAACAAGAATAAACAGAGAACAAAGTTGAAATCCCAGATCTATAAACCTAGATGTCTTAATCGATTATGAGAGCCCCTTTAGGGAACCCTAAGCCCAACTCGGGATCTACTCAGACATGGCTGAGGTCGACATCATCATTGATTTTAATAAAAGTAATCAAAAACAGTAAAGAAAAGAGATGAAGAAAGCTTCTCTATTGAAAAACTCGGACTTGAACAATCTTCTACAAAAATCGCATAAAAACGGCTAAAGGAAAAAGGGTTTCTGTAAAGTATGAAGGGTTGTTCCTAAAAACGACCTAAATGACAAGTATTTATAGTCTTCAATACTCCATGGTCTCTAGGGTTCCGGAATTGAGGCTGAGAATGACTTTGGGCTTCAGAAATATGGGCTTTAGTTCGGAGTTTGACGGCCGCGGTCGGGAGTGACGTGACCACGGGGAATAGGCGGTTGGCCGTGGTCGGGAGGCTTGTGACCGTGGGAAATGGGCTGTTGGCCGCGGTCGCGTGACTTGCTGGCCATCTTCGAGTGGCTCCGGGGCTAATGGAATATCTTGAGATCCAACCGTTGGAATGTCTCCAAACCAAGTGCATTTGAAAGCTGGTTGATTCTTCTATAAGTTTTCCAATTTTGAGGGTGATCAGACGGTGAGAAGATCTTCGTCTCTCCATGAGAGTTCTGACGGTCTGCATTTATCCAAAAGAGTCTTTTTGTTCCAATTTGTGCCTTTTTATCCCAAATTACCTGAAAAGTCTTTTAAAATCCGAAAACATAGAAATCCTTTGAAAACCTTTGGAAATGGAGTAAAAACACCTGTAAAAGATATTAAAGTGATCCATAAAAATGGTCAAAATCCGGTGTTATCAACTCCCCCAGACTTAGTCTTTTTTTTGTCCTCAAACAAAACAAAGGCTAAATCTCGGCCAGAGGTTTGAAAACGCAGGAACTAAACAAAATCTCAGAGACCAAACTTCTAGACCAATATCAATCAGTATGTATCAATCGGGAATAGCATAGAAAATTCTCACTAGCAATAAAGGCATAACTAGTCCGTTAATCCGTCATGCGGAAATCTATGCACTAAGATCTAACTTCCAGTCAACTAGCTCTTAACATTCATTAAAAATCTCGGTGGTTATCATCAAAGAAAGTCTAGGCAAGGCAATCTAGGCTAGGTGTCAAAAAGGTTATTCTAGGGGTATGGCTTAAAGTGTTTACGGGTTACCTGAAGATCTGGAGAATGCAAGATATTATGCAAAACCGCAAGAGAAAGTGAAGCTGTTGGTATCCACAGTTTTCAGTCACTTTCTTCTTGCCGTAGATTACTGGTCTTCTTCCTCAGGTTCTCTCCTAACTCCCCCAGACTTAGATTTTTGTAAATCTTTCAAAAAAGTAGCTCTATAAATGCTTAGTAGATGCTTCTTGCTCCACAAATTTCGACAATCTAAGACTCATTAGGCTTTTTGTTTCCCTCTCTCTTTTCATTCGTTTTTTTTTTAAGAGAGGAACACATTTAGATATAGAGTCTTAGAGAGCACGAAAATACCAGTTAATATCTGTCTTGTAAAGCTTTATGTGGTTTCTGATACTCTTCCTTCCCAATTCCATTCAGTCTCCTTTGTGAGTGACTGAAAACTGCGTCGCTCCTCTTCTCTCCGACGTTTTTGCACATATCTGCTGATATAAACTAAAGAGAGAATGCATGAGTATTGAAAACAATGGTTTGGATTTAGGGTATGGTACCAGATAAAGATAAACTGGTCATCTAGGACGACGAAGAGTGGTAAAAGTGAGGGTAAAAGACGTCCTAGATGTGTATGTCGATGCCTGCTTAAAATCAATGATGAGAAAATTAGATATCAATATTAAGGTCAAATAAAATGAGCTAGTATATCCTGTCAGAAAGAATCTCCATGAATAGAAGTCCTCTGGTGGGAGCTCGTAGTGCAAGTACTCTAGCTACCGTCTAGTCTAGTGCTAACCACAAATGAGCTATCATGCATAGTGTAGAAGTGTGCAGGTCTAAATCATCATAGTTTTGTGTCAAACATTCCTGAAAAATACTTAATGTCGAATAGGTTACATATTAAAATTAAAAAAGTGCTTGAAATTTAAAAGCAAAAGCAAGAAAATGATTAGTACGGATAGACATCCTCCCCCAGACTTAAATCACACTGTCCCCAGTGTGAAAAAGTTGGTGAGAAAATGGTGAATAGAAGCGAAATAAAATAAGATAAAAGAAAAGAAAATGATGGTAGAACCGTGATGGTAGTGAAGT